AAGCGAGAAAAGAACAAGCATTTGTATGTTGTCTTTTACAGACTTAAGACATCCAGAAGTCTAACATTAAAAAAAGTTGGCCACTTGAAATGGGCACATTATCTTGCAAACTGGATTATTTGTGTATTTGGCACCCACTAAACAACATGTGCGGCTTTGGTTAAATCCTTCGATGCTGTTTTTTTAGCTTTTACCTTGGTGATTTGTTGCTTTTGAGAGTCTAGATGTTCTACTGAAGCAAAATAAGATGTTTGGCTGGGGCCAGCAAGTGTGGATGCAAGGTCCCTTGGCCACACTGATCACAACCAGCTGACCCAAAATTGGACATGCCAGAGAATTTTAATCCTTCCTACACTTCGAACAAAGCTGGCTTATTACCAAGTTGGATCAGCAGCTGCCATATGGTCTGTACTAAACCGCCAAAACAAGTTTTCTCTTTTTATTTACAACTTCAAGATCTCAAATGTTCAACCTTTAAATGGTATTGAGTTCATTCTGAGCCATCAATGTTTGTACTTCCATATGAGACCAGTCCTTTTTAAAAATATTTCACTGAAGTTAAGTAACTAAGGAACATTTCCTCTGTGCCCCACTGCAAGCCAGTAAAATAGTGTGCAATTATTTAATTTAAACAAAAGTTGGCAATCTTCCAAATTATACGAGTGAATTTTTTCTCCGTCCTTGGGGTGCCCTATTAAAAACGCACTGATAGACTGGTGGAAACTCTGGACAGTATAGCTGGAGTTCATGCCATAACTTAAAAAAACAAATTCTTCAGATTTTTGACCAGATTTGAGACAGAACTTTATTTTGTCCCTCTCTTGGTGGTTATCAATATTAGATGGAACCCATTTCTATCTTTGATTACATGTCCATGAACAGACTTCTAACCTCAGCAAGTTAAATATTAATCAGACTTTAAACATGTCATTTGGCAGTAGGATAACATAACTTTGTTATATTTCTATGTAGAATAGATTGCAAGACACACTCTGGTGGTATCAAAGTAGCCGCTGGAGCTTAGGTTCACTGCTGTCTGATTTCTGTGTAAAATATACGCTTATATTCAGCTCTGTAGGAACTCTGTGGACATGTCTCTGCTTCTATCACCATGTCATCATGCTGAATAAGATGGTCAGCAACTCCGTGTACACATCACCCCATGATCTGCTCCGTACCATGCCGATCACAAAGACCATATACTTTCATCTCTGCAACCTCACCCACTTCTTCAGTTTATCTGTCATTAAAAGCTTTCAAAATTTGTTGTCTACAATGCTTCCTCACCAGCTTCTCCCCCGTACTCTTCATAATTCGACTCGTGCAGAATTCCACTGCAATATTTTCACTTCAGTCTCATTCTGGATATTGTTATCCAAATAGCTGTCCTGCAATGCAGCCATATCTTTTTGTTTTGTAAACCTACATCTCTCCTCTCCCAACCGCAGCCATCAATCCTCTAATTAAAGGTTCACTAAGCCCTAGTTTTCGATTTGCCAGGACAGTTTTCACAGAATGGTTCTAATGATGCCCATCCCACCAGAACAGCTCTCTTCTACCCTATTGCTGGTCCCAGTGTTGCACAAACTAAAATCTATTCCACCCACATCAATTTTCGAGCTGTGCATTTAACTGCTCAACATCATTAAACATGAGCTTGTGGTTCAGGTAGTGATCCTGAGATTGTTACCTTTGATCCTTTGATTTCAATCTACCTTCTAACTGTTCAAATCCTTTGAGCCAAACCTCCTTTTTAATCCTATCGATGTTGTTGATCACCAAGCAGGGAACACAGCCTTTGGGACTTGCATTCATGGCTGCAGAGAACTGCATCCATCCCCCTAATTCTGCTACTAATGCTTCTGCTACCATTGCTTTTACTTTTACTACTATCACTTCTGCTACTATGTTCCTTACAGGAACCTAGCTGAGCTGTGGAGGTATGTTGATGCTGTGGTCAGTTCTCATCCACACAGCTTACAAGTACCTTGTAACTGTTGAACAATTGCAGGGATCGAGGGTCTTCAGACCCAGCCCACTGGGTCACCATACCTGCCTTAGCTGTGGTCACACCCTCCTGCCTCTGATCATTGAGCAAATTTGAATTTGCTTCACACCCCTTGGGCTAAACAATTCAATGTGTCTGGGTAACTTTCCCTGTCTCTGATGTGGCACAGTGTCTGCAGTTTGCACTCCAGCTCCTTTACCCTGGTCTGAAATTCCTCAAACTGCAAACTTACAGATGTATTTGCTCTGGATCACTTTGGTGTTCAGTGCCTTCCATGCCCCACAGTAGCACGTCATCTATCCTACCAACACTATCATATGCAATTTAATGTATTAATTCCTTGCTCTTTACACTTTATAGTAATTTTTTTTACTATAAAAACACCAATATTAGTCTTATACTTTAGCTATTGTTAAAAGAAAAGACTAAAGATCAATTGACAAACTGAAGACCTTGCTTTTGTATTAAAGACAAGAAATATTCACCAATCAGCTACTGTTGTTACAAATGGATCATATTATGGTAGGCTTCTCGACTGTGGTATTTATCCTCTCCTACACTCGCCTCTCGCTCTGGAGAGTTTACTCCCCGCAGTAAACCTTAGTTAAAGCACATCTGACACCTTTGCACTGAATTCTTACTGTGAAGTAAAGCCCCAGTTTCACTGTCAGCCTTCGTGTCTCTGAGACAGTTTCCACTCGTGTTCATTGAGCTCCTTACTCCCCCGCACCCCTGTCAGCCTGACAACTCCTGACTGTTAATCCTTGTGGGCCTGATTTACATCTATTCCCCTGTCCGCCTCAGACCGGCAAGCCCCTAGACCAGCTAACACCTTCCATTTACCATGCCCGAACCATCACATCTTCACCCACAACTGAACTCTCAATCCGTGGTGTATTCGGAGCACTTGTTCGCTTGCCTGGCATGTTACCCCCCACCACCACCACCTGGGAACCAATTAGGTTACAAACTTGCCCCCTCACGGGATCTATTGTAGTGGTTGGCCATACGACTGGATATTTAAATCTGAGAACATGGCATACTACAGCAGAGTGGAGCTTGGGTTCTACAAAGAGATTTTCATTGCTGGATTTGTGGATTCCTAAACTGGTTCATACGTGGAGGCCCTTGTCCAAGAATTTCCAGTGCAGAAGACTTCTGGAGGTAAGTGATATGAAGGTGGCAACCTGGGCCACACAACAACTGATTACCAGCTTGCTATTAAAATCAATAATATTCAGAGATCTGCAGCACAGAGAAAGGTCCTTTGGCCCATCGAGCCTGCATCGGTCAAAAATGAACACCTAACTATTCTAATCCCATTTTCGAGCACATTGCCCATTGCCCATTGCCTTGAATAATATAAACAAAACTTTAGGATTTCATGTTCTTTTACCACAAGTGTCTTTCACGCAGTTGATGAAACGTTGCTTTCAATGAATGTACTCATTAACGAAGCAATCCTTTAAATGAAATTATAGCACACTTGAGGGGATAGTAAAATAAGAGGTCATTTCAGACAAATCTGATCTCTGTTCACATTGGAGTTCTGGCTCAGCTGTGCTACTACGGGTTAGGCTAGACCAGATGGGTTCTTCAGAGAATGGAGTGTTTCCCTTATCTACCTCCATTATCTTGTTTTGCTGCATTGGAGATGGAGGCCTCAGAGTAGCTCCTTAACTGCAGCCATGTTACGCTGTGGAGGTGCTTAAAAAGCAAAGGAGAATTGGTTTTTTGAAAGAAAATGAAGTATAATCCTGAAAACACGCAAAATATCATAACTTTAAATGCAAAAATCTTTTTTCTGGGTCCTTTCAAAATATATTTGAATCATTTTTCGAGAAAGAGTTGGACGCTCATTTGGCACTAACAACAAGAGCTAACAAATTTAATGGGCCTACAGTAATCTTTAAAAGTCCAATGTTTTATCAGTGCCTTTGACCTAATATCACCACATCAAAAAAGAATGCTTTATTTCAAAAGGAAATACACCCAATAAGGTCACTAACAAAATTGCAAGATTGGCTTTGATTATGTTTACATTTTGTGTTTTCTGAAACAAAGTATTTTCCTGTTTGGAAAAACAAGTAAGCTTAGGCATGTACTGTAAGTTCTTAATCTTGTCAGGAATAGTTTCAAACGCTCAGAAATTCCTCTTCCCACTGAACAGCAACCAGACCAAAAACAGTTTTGAAATGACTTGTGTGACACTGCAATAGCCAGCATGAATGTAGATTCTTTCAATGCAATAACTGCAAAAGACAAACTATTATTTTCTGCACTTTTATTGAAGCTGAAAATTTCAATTTCATGTTTGTGACAAGAAGTGTTAAGAATGTGAAGGCAAAAGATAAATATTCCTAATATATTGGAGAAACCTGAACAATGTTGATGTTTCAAATCTGAATTATCTGAATATCACATTTAGGTTTCATTAGATAGAAAATACAAATTGTATAAAGAGGATGGAAGTCCTTATCGAGGGATTATACTGTCCTGATACTAATGGCTTTATCATAGGAACACCACCACTAGATGGCACAGGCAATACACAGGAGCAGAAGCACCATCTGGCAGTGCTATGTCACTGCCAAGCAGACATAGCTGCCTTCGATGTTGAAGAGTGGCCTATTTAGCCAACCCTCCAGCATTCAGTGAAGTGATGATGGCTAGTGCCATGTGGGGAGGGAAGTCCTCGTGCTATTAACAATAACTACAAATGTCAATGCAACCTACAGCAGCTACCCCACTCCCGTCCACCATGGGGAGCTGTCCAGCTGCACTGCCCAAAGGCCAGCATTACTTGACGACGGTGTCTTGCCCTGCTCCTGGCCTGTTTGCACATGTGCAGGCAGCCATCTTGGCACTCAGGCCAATTACTCCATACATTAAATGTTGTTATATAATCATGTGAGTATTCAACTGCCTTGTGGTTGTGATCCTTTATTCTACAAAGCAATTCATAAGAAAAATGATAGCTGTATGGCTGTCCTTTGGTAAAATAGTTGTATTTTGTTTAAGATGGCAACATTCCACTTAACTTGACATTCATGATTTCACTGGCACAAATACACAGACACAGTACAATTGTGTAAATCGTGACCCAAGTAATTCTGCGCAATGTCTTGTCCTTGAACTGCATCTGGGTACACTGGTCAAATAAAGATTAACCACTGTAGCAAAACAAGTTTGCAGAATGGTGCCAATTTTTAATTACTGGCTTCGGAAACAAGCACTAAATCACTGGGTTTCTTTTTTAAAAAGACTTCTGATGTGTTTACTGATAACTTCAATTGTGACGGATGCATGTTAAACTTGACCTTGGAAAACAAAAATACATTTATGTAGCTTTGCTGTTAATGATTATGGCAGCTCAAGCCCTGCTTCACCAATTGTAGTTTCCACCACACTTGGATAGGAACAAATGGTTCATTGTTACATCTTTCAAAATATAATTTTCCTTGGCAAGGCTGTTAGCAAAAGAATTTGTGCTACTTCCACCCACCTTTTTAAATGTTGAATTTATGCATTCTGAAATCAAATCACTTTTCTTCAAATGCAACATTTCTTGTCAATACAGTGTCACAAAACAATTAAAAGTGCACTGTTCATGAAGGAATATTTGTATTTTTTTTCCATTCTTATTTACAAATGCAAATACTACTGAGCTTCATTCAGTGTAAACAATCTTCCACAATGATAATGCATCATTTTCCCTCTGACCCAAACGAAATCACACATCACCCTGAAAATATTCCTGCCGTTTGGGGAGTATAGATATTTTTAAATCTACCTACCAGTCATGCTATGAGACACCTCTGGAGCAGGTAGGACTTGAATCCAAGTCTTCTGGCCCAGAAGCAGGGACACTACCATTGTGCCAGAAGACCTATTTGGTTGTGCAGGCTAGGGTTAGAGAACATGGCCTAAAAATTAGAAACAGGCCATTCAGCAGTGAAGTTGGGAAACGTTTCCACACACACACACAGTGGTAGAAACTTGGGAGTTCTTGTCCACAAATGTAACGTTAAGCTTTATTAATTTTGCTCTGATTTTTTTTCACTTGCTCATTTAACCAAAAGTATTTAAGGGAAAATGAGACAAAAGAACCTGTATGAAGTTTGTATAATGATCAACCATGTTCTCACTGGCAGAAAAAAAGGCTAAATGAACTAATCCCATTGTTGTGTCCTGAAAGATGTCTTTAAATCCCACATTTAACTTTGCAGTCAGAATTTCTAACGTTTAAAGGTGTTAAAATTGTGAATACAGTTGGGCATCATTATCAATCTAGGTGCCACAAGAGTTTGAAGTTATAGTTTAATGTATTGTAAATTTTGATTTTTGTGCAATGTTTACAACTGAAAGCTGTTTGCTTGTTTTAAGATATACTGAAAGCCAAATGTGTCATATGCTTCTTGTGGCTTGGTACTATCTTGGTTTTAGTTAAGAATGCTCCTGGGTAATGGCAGATTGAATATTAAGCCGACTGCAATAATTGGGTTGATTAAACTATTAGAGGGAGGAGATTAAATCTCCAGAAATACCTGAAGTATTGTCTGAACAGCCCAATGACTTAAATCTCTAGCACATTTGGAATTCATGATGTGGAGGTGCCGGGGTTGGGATGGGGTGGACAAGGTCAGAAGTTCATATGACACCACGTTATAGTCCAACAGGTTTCTTTGAAATCACAAGCTGTCGGAGTGATGCTCCTTTGTCAGATGAAGTGAAGAAAAGGCACAGAATTTAGAGGCAGATAAATCAAAAGATCGTACAAATGGTGTGAGTGGGCTGTTGACAAACCAAATGACATGTCTCTGCAGATGATCAAAAGTGTCAGACAGTGTGAGCTGGAATAACGTGACAGGTATAAGAATCACATGCCAAGGGTCTAAACAAAATAACAAGTAATACAAAGCCGTACAAATTAATGAAGGTAGAAAGATCATAAGTTACCAAGTTGATGGTGTCAAATCAGGGCAGTCATGGAGATTTTATAAAAACAGAAGTGTGGCAGGGTTACATGTTGCGTAACGTGAACCCAATATCACGGTTGAGACCGTCTTCATGGGTACGGAACTTGGCTATCAGTTTCCGCTTGCCTATTCTGTGTTGTTGTGTATCTTGTGATATTGCGTTCATGTCAAGCTACATCTAACCCCACCATACTGTTCCGTATTTGTAAAATTTTCCTTGCTGTCTGTCAACCTTACTTTTTGTACAGTTTGTATTACTTGTTACTTTAATTAGGTATAAGAGTCGCATGCCAAGGGTCCATCATGTTATTCCAGCCGGTTGGTTCATCTCCAGCAACATTTTATTTTTATCTTTTGTAATTGTGTCTGCCTCAATTAATCAGATCATAGGTCATCCCTTCATTTATTATTCAGCTGTTGACACTTTACTTACACCTGCAGAGACGTGTTATTCGGCCTGTCGACACTCCACTCACACTACTTGTACAATCTTTTGATCTCTCTGCCTATAAATTCTGTGCCTGTCTGCATTTTTTCACTTCACCTGATGAAACAGTAGTGGTCCGAAAAAGCTTGTGATTTCAAGTAAACCTGTTGGACTATAACCTGGTATCGTGTGATTTCTGATGTTTGGAATTAACTCTGATTTGCACGAGCAAAATCGTTGTCCCATTAGGAGTTTAATAAGTCAAATTAGGGTTAGAGGAAAGTAAGGCTAAGTTAATACCTTTTGAAGGACAAGCTTTTCATGTTCAGCTGACTTTCCAGATGTACAATTTAAAAGAACTACATTCATTTTTGATTCAGATTGTAATGTTTCTAACAATGCGGACATCCTTGGAGTTTACTCATCTATTTGCCAAGTTACAAACCTTGTAAGTACAAGCCCATTTAATATCATTAACCTTTATTATCATTATCATTGAGCTCTCAAACATAACAAAACACATTCAGGCCCATTTGGTCGGTTCAGCTATAGTTAAATTCTAGCACTATTATTTTAATTCTTTAATGAATCTTCCTAAAACAACCCATCTGTTTAAAGTTACTAGACTGTCAATATATCCAATTGTTGTCGTTTACCTGAATGTGGTATTGTATGAGTCTTTGGGATGTGTTACCAGGCTCAATGAATTTAGGAGGAGGAAAAAAGTTTGCAAGAGTATTTTGTCCTTGTCTACATACGAGCAAATAAATAATCCACTTCACAAGGGAGGTTTATGGCCTAGTGGCATTATCGCTAGGCTGTTGATCTAGAGACCCAGGTAATATTTTGCAGACCTGGGTTTGAATCCTTCCATGGTTATAAAATAACTCTGGAATTGAGAGTATCATGATGACCATGAATCCATTGTTGATTGTCAGAAAAACCCATCTGGACACGTTGACAAATGTCCTTTATGGAAGGAAAACCTGGTCTGGCCTACATGTGAGTCCAGTCTCACAGCAGTGTGGTTGATTCTTAACTTAGGCAATCAAATGCTGGAATAGACAGTGAAACCCTCACCCCATGAATGAATTTAAAAAAAAACACAGCTGCAATAATCTAACACCATGAAGAAATGTTTGGAACTATACTGAGGCTCAAATATTTCCACATCCATGTGACGCAATTCAAAGTTAATAATCTTCGGGCAATAGCCCTTGTGTTCAATCTGTTTCAAGTGGCTTTGCTGAAATCGACAGTGATTCACTCACACCCTCAGTCATTATTATTTTGTATTACACATGTCATTTCAGGTCATTTGGTCTAGATATTCACTGTCTTCCAACACATTTGACCAAATTTATAGTTATCAGTACATTTAAACTGCAAACTATTCAATATCTGTTGCAAGTTATTAAACCAAAAATCAAAAAAATTATACAGTATTCATATTCAGTGCAGCATATATACTCGCACCTTTTTCTTTAAAAGTCACCCAAAGCATTAAATAGAAAACAATGGTAAAAATTGCCCAAAGTTGTAGATATGCAGAGCAGTAGTCCCTGGAAGGCAGTTATATGGCTTGGTTTGACATGCTTCTGCGTAAAATTGTGGTATAAAGAAGACATAATGTTTCTCTGAGACTATCAAAGACGATGATCCAATCCATCTGTTTCTCACAGATCTTCTCCGCAATGTGGCTGTTTCTGTTCTGAATGAAAAGTTACAGGAGCACACCATTGCCAATTAACAAGTCTTGATCAGTGGGTATGCCACAAAATACCCAATTCCAGCTCCAGCAATTATACTCAGGAAAACCCATACATTGTAGGACATGGCACAAAGCATCAAAAAGTAGCTGAGGACGACCTGGATAATGTGCAAAACAGACTGGAGCACATGAACCCATATCCACCTGCAATTATTTAATAACAATTAATGTAGAGTCATGTTAATACATTTGCATTTTTTAAAGGCAGTACTGGTAATAAGCTTTTTTTCCACCTCTTAAGGCTGTAATGTATTTGAATACGACTTGGCACCAATTTTCTAGCCTACATCTGATGGTTGATTTGAATTTTCTTGCTTCCTAATTGCATATAAACACGGAGATGGCAAGAGTTCAGTCTGATGTGGCTGAGGTTGTGTATCTGGCCTAAACAACCTTTGGTTTCAAATATTGATGATAAAAAGGTGAAATCAAATGTTCATTCAGGTAATTATACGCAACAGCCATGAACAGTATATGTATTTAGAAACGGGCAACTGATTTCACCGAGAGGTTTTGCAATACAGTGCCATGTATTGAGGAGAGTCTGCAACAAGACAGTAAAGAAAACAACTATAAGGGCATTTCCCACTTAATCAGCATGGTCTGCCTGCAGCAACGTTGAGGTTTTGAAATTTTCACAACAGGTACCATCAAAGACATGATGCCAATCGGACCTACCTACCTGAATATTTAATGACAATAGTTCAAAATGATAGAGGGGTTCTTCTAAAGAAATTCTAAAATCATGATTACGTTAATCATTTTATTTGCCATAATGTGGGGGAGCTTCTGTTTGCAAAGCACATCTTCAAATGCTACCTGGCTGTTTGAGCGTGGAGGGTGACGTTTCTAGGACTGGTCCCGTTCTTGTTAAATGTTGATACATTACACACTTTTGCACTGAGGGTTACTGTATCGAAGGACATGTCAGTGTGAATGCTGAAAGGATGTTTCCCCTTGAGAGAGACTGGAGCACAGCATTTGAGCAGAAAATGAGAAGAAATGTTTTCCCTGATGGTTGAGAGACTTTAGAACTCCAATCACATTGGAGGTCAGGTGATTCGATATTATTAAGCCCTAGGTAAATAGATTTGACCAACATGGGTGTCGGCAAGTATCAGGCATAGGCCAGAATGTGAAATTAAGGTCACAATCAGATTAACCTCAATCATCTTGAGGTACAGCAGGCTCAACTGGGGGAAAGGCGAGGTTTATAAGTTTCTATCCTGCACAGAAATGGGGAAAATGCCAAGTTCCTTGTTTTCCTTTTAGGGTTCCTTCCTCTGAGCTCTATCTAGTGATAGCTGCTGGTCATGCATCATGTGGGCAATCACTGAATACACATTAAGCTCAGTTATGTTGTACCCCTTGTTAAATATCCAACTGATTCTCGTCATCCTATCTGAAAATATGGGAGCATTAACTAAGCATAGGAGAAGTTGGGAATGAAGTAAAAACCATTTCAGCCAATGAAAGCTCATTTCTCCAGCATTGTTACTCTTGTTTCTTATGATGCATGAAGAGTTAGCACCTTGACTGAGGCACCAAAGGATGCCAAACATCTACAGAATCAAATTAGTGAGGACCAGAGCTTTGACGAGATGACCAATGGAAATTTGTGATGTGGGTGAAAAACAGTTGCATCAACGTAACCTGAATGGATTTCAATACGTTCAAAGTTAAAGGTCTTATTATACAAGCTGTGGAAAACCACATTACTTAACAAAACAGCAAAATGCTCAATTTTTATGCAGTTATGCTACAGGTATTTTGGTATTCCTTAAATTGCTTGATGTCATTTTTGAGCAGACCCAAAATTTTGATTCCAGAGGTGTTTCTATTTGTTTAATTTCATAGTGGAGTCCCATCTCCTTTTAATTGCCAAGTATGTTTCTCCTCTATTCTAAACCCCACATGTTGAGTTTAAACCAGTTGGTAAATGTGGTTTTTATTTCCACTGAGCCAGGAAATAAATTGCTCCCTTTGTACCTGATAAAGTTGAATTGTCCTTGTGGTTGTTTTAACTTTAATATGACAATATAAAGGTAAGTTGTGCTGGCTGCCTGACAAAGTAGCTCTCAATAAAATAGTGACAGATTTTTGTGAAACTTTATTTAAAATCCCTCTCTTTGTAATGCAACATATTTACAGTACAGTAGCTCCTGAGTTAATTTTTTTTAAGTGCTCCCACTTTGTGAATTCAACCGCAGCCTCTGATATTTTTAAATTCAAAAACCCAATGGAAATGTCACTGTGCAGGACATTGGCATTGTTAGGAAAAAAAAGAGTTTAATCAAGTTGTAGAACTTGTGCAATGATGGAGGGTAGCCATAGAATCATTGAATCCCTACAGTGAATAAAGAGGCCATTTGGCCCATCAAGTCTGCACCGACCCTCTGAAGAACACCCCAGCACCAAGCACCCCCCACCCTATTCCCATAATCCTACATTTCCCATGGCCAATCCACCTAGCCTGCACATCCCCGGACACTATGGGCAATTTAGCATGACCAATCCACCTAGCCCGCACATGTCTGGACTATGGGAGGAAACCAGAGCACTTAACAGAAGCCTGTGCAGACATGGGGAGAATGTGCAAACTCCACACAGACAGTGACCTGAGGCTGGAATTGAACTCACGTCCCTGCCACTGTGAGGCAGCAGTGCTAACCACTGAACCACTGTGCCATTCACAAGAGATGACAGAATATTTATTTGTTTTTTTTAACATATATAGGTGACCCGGGTTGCCAAGATATTGTCATCATTTAAGAATAGGTTGTTTTTTTCTCTCCTGGCCAACCCGCCACATCTCTGGAGATGTGACCTCATCGGAAACACTTCGAACACCCTAGCTCACACCAAGACCCAGTAACCTCCCAACCTATACACCAGCCCCTTCGCCATGTTCATTGATAGTCATTGGCTCCTGGTTCAAAAACACCTCCAATTGAACATTCTCTCCCTTTCTCCTCTTTCCAACTCGCGCACTCTAACATTTTGCTCTTCTAAATGATGCCTCTTACACATGCTCAATTTTCATCCCTCTATTGATGATGATCATACTGAATTTATCCTCAGTGTCCTAATTAATATTTATCCCTCAATCAGAATCACTATAAGAGATGACTTGGTCAATTCTATAATGCTGTTTGTGAGGGATTTGCTGTGCACAAATTGTTGCATGTTCTACATTAAAATACTGACTACGCTGGAGAAGACAAAATGCTTTGGCATATCTTGAAGTTATCAAATCCACTAATAATGCAAGCCTTCCTCTCTCACCCTAAACCCCTCTAATCACCATCTGCTCTCTCTCAACAACTTGTATGTATACAGCACCTTTTAATGCAGTGAAAATTTGTTCAAGCACTACCACATTAAATTATTTAAGAGCTCTTAGGGAGAATGACCAAGAGTATGGGTAAGTAGCTGGGTTGTTGTGAGGGCCTTTATAAGAGGAAACCAAGGTAGTCAGAAGCAAAAAAGGGTTAGGGAGGGATTGCCTGAACTTTGGAACTCAACACCTTGGATGTCAATAGGGGAGTGATTAAAGTTGGGAATGTTTAAGGGGCCAGAATTGAAGATACCAGGCCATGTTACAGAGCTACAGGAGGTTACTGCCATAGGAAGGATTTAGGTCATGGAAGAAATGATAAACCAGGGAAGGAATTTTACAATCACTGCATTGACTACATTGGCTCCTGGTTAAGCAAAATAGAGAAAGGTGAGGGAAACTTGTCACAGTTAGGATGTGCAGAGCAGAGTTTTGGACAGTGGAAAATTGAAACCTGATACTAACTGCTTTGCAATTGTCAATTCCAGACACACACATGCTTTTATAAGGTGCTTTTCAAAAAAAAAAACAAACACATTAGAAAAAAATCTCCATGTTCCTTCGAAACATCTTAGGATGTTGACTATTTGACGGGTGCTATATGAAAGGAAGTTGTAAGATGTAAATATATATTCTTAATTAACCTGTCCTGACATGTTATGCCATGCCTCCAGGGCAGATGGAACTTGAAGCATTTCCAAGGTGGCATAAGATCCTCTTTATAACTGCAGATTCGCAATCCTTATTTAAACTATGCACTGGCCACTTAAAAGTACTTTACATTGTACCATTAAACTAATCGGGTTAGGATGGACAGGTATTTTGAAACCAGTGTGCTTTGACTGTATACCCACCACAATTTTTACTCACTTGACATTAGCAAGTTGTGTAAAAAGAGAAAGAAGTGTGAAGTTGTTGAATATGTTACTGAAGATATTCACAAAGCAGCCAGTTCAGGAGCTCAATGGTTGTGTTTTCTGGACAGGGTCAAAGTGAGTGGTGAGATAACAGGTGAGTGTTACATTGGAGCTATATAGACAATGTCAAGGAGTGAAGTGAGTTTGATATATTCTAGATGGATTTCAGCCAAGCTTTTGATAAAGTCCCACAAGGCAAACCTGGCAGAAAACCTCATGGCATCCCCAGAAAAAGTGGTAAGTTGGACCCAAAGTTGATTCAGTGGCAGGAAGAAACAGGTTCTGGTCATCTGGTCTTTTGTAGCTAGAAAGCTGTTTCCAGTAGAGTTCCACAGGGGCCTTTACTAAGATGCTTGCTTTTTGTGGTCTGTATCAATGATATGGATCTAAATAGGGTTGGGAGACCCAGTTAAGTTTTCAGATGATATAAAAATTGTTCGTGTAGGTGATAAATATCTGAGTTCAGGAAGAAATCAAGTGAATGGTCTGGTAGGGAAATGGGTAGTAAATAGAATTCAGTCTACAGAACTCGGGTGTAATGCATTCGGGAAGGGCAAACCTGTATAGGACTATGCAGTGCTACACTGACAAGTGTCGAGTAACGGAGATACTTTGAAGTGCATAACCACAGTTTCCTGAAGGTATCAGGACAGATATTTAATGTGGTTAAGCAGACACATTGGATGCTTTCCTTTACTAGCCAACCCATAGAATATAAGAGCTTGTAGCTTATCCTAGAACAGAATTAAACACTTGCTTTGCCACAGCAAGATTACTGTCCAGTCCTGATTATACATTACAGCACGCATCTCTTCACTGGAGCTGGTACAAAAATTTACAAGAATGTTGCCAGAAGTGGAAAATGTCATCTTGAAGGCAACATGGATTGCTCAGGGCTGATTTATTTGTGACAGAATAAACTGAAGGAAGATTTAACTGACGTGTATAAAACTGAGATGCTTGTATCGAGTGTATCAAAAGGAGCTATTTCAATTAGCTGAGGGCTAAATGATATCAGGGAAATAGATTTAGAATAATCGGCAGAAGGATCAGACTGGATTAGAAAGGATTATTTTTCAGCTCGAAGGTAGGGAGAGTTTTTATGAAACTAGAAGCCCTCAACATGTCTTAAACCTACTTATGTTTTAGTACTTTCAATGCACATCCAAGAGCTGAACAGCCTAAAAGCTGCAAATTGTGCTTAGTGTGGAGATGGGTCAAATGGCCTCCTGGGGTGCCAATTTTCTAAGATTCTATAGAGAAGTATTGAACTAGTTGGTCGTCATTTTGTTCCTAGCATTTCTATGGGTTTAATTTTGTTCATGTATTTACCATGTAAAGACTGATTTTGCAACCATGAATCTGTCACTACAATTAAACTCAGAAAAGAACATGAATCATCTAACAAGATGAAAGGGTAGAAATCATCGTAGGTGTCAGCTTACATCTAAAATGCCAACAGAACTAATAATAATAATAAAGAAATCAGTCAAAGAATAAAACAATCACCTTTTACAGGAGATGTTCTGAGAGTCTGGATTTATAGGTAACGTCTCTGCTGTTTCGTCTGGAGGGTTAGGTGGTGCTGCTGCCATCAGATCCAATATTTTCTTGTCCAGTTTCACTGTTTCCACTTTTAGCATTTCATAAGTGACTGTCATAAGCAGAACAATCACCACTGTCAGCACCAATCCTTCAAGTAAAAGGAAAGGTTTAGTCATTGAATTTTCGTTGCCAAATTCAAAACAATACACAAAGGAATTACTGAGTTAACAGCAGAATTGTGCTTACTGGATACAATTGGGTCTTTAAGAGAAACACTCCAATTAAGAATTAAAAAGAAATTTTCATACGACAGGCAGTCACTGACTTCATCCGACTGACAAACAAGATCCCATTCATGGTTGAATTAATATTAATTTAAGATCCAACCTGCAAACAGTTGCTCATACTTATGAATAGCTATTTTATATTGCACAATATTCTGTTCTGAACTGCATATGAATCAACCTACGAACATTCAAGACTGGAATCTATTAGTAACCCAGAGACTGTCTGTATACCATTCATTAGCTCTAAAACCCTTTACAGGTCCCTATTCTGTTAATTCTGACAACATCAGCATCACCTAATTTAGTTGCTCTACACTTGGCTGTTTGCTTTCAGCTGCCAAAGGCCTAGACTGGACATTTTCCTCTCCAGCTATCACCCTCCTTTGAGGGTCTCCTTAAAACCCAAATCTTTGACCAAGTTTTTAGTCTTCTGTCCTAACACTGCCATATGATGCTCAATGTTAAATGTTTTTTGACCTTCGTAATAAATGTCTTGAAGTATATTCTACATTGAAGATGCTATGTAAGTGAAAATGCGTTCACTTGAAACATTCTCCTGGTTTTATGGCCACCCCTGTTGAACATGTTTGCAGCTGGCCTGTGCCGAGCATATGAAATATGACAACTAGCCAACCACCTGATCCAAATTTCCACACAATGGTAGGTGGATAGATGGTGAAATAGACAGGTCTCCCCACCCCACAGTATATAATTCATGGGCAACTGAGCTTGTTACTAAATCAATTTATCCAAATATTAAGTTGGCCATGGTGTAAATACCACTGGCATAGGCTGGCAGGCGGGAGTGAAAAGATTACTTGCTTAGTTTAAAAAAAAACTATCTTGTAGAAAAAGTGGGAAGGGATATGGACTGTGCACATTGGAGGCTCCTCACCTCACCAAAGATGTAACATCTACCATTCACCCCCAGCCCTTAACTCAGACTCCACAATCTCTGCCCATCCAAAACCTTGGAAAGCAGCTCTCTATATAATTTCTTTCCCACTGAGGGGTAGACGTCCCACATTCTGCTTATGGCAGTGTGTTATCACCATGAAGTGATTTTATTTTAAAAGTTGGTTGCCTGATGTCCAACTTTTGCAATAGGGATGGCAAGTTGTATGGCCTATTATTTCTCCACAGACTTGCCAGACTTGCTTTGTATTTTCAGTATTTTGTTTGTTTTATATTTCAGGTCTTCTAAAAATACAAAGAAACAAACTTTACACCCAAATTTCAATATGGGACGGCACAGTGGCTCAGTGATTAGCACTGCTGCCTCAGCGCCAGAGACCCAAGTTCGACTCCACTCTCGGGCGACGATCTGTGTGGAGTTTGCACATTCTCCCAGTGTCTGAGTCGGTTTCCTCTCGGTGCTCCAGTTTCCTCCCACAGTCCAAAGATGTGTAGGCGAGGTGGATTGGCCACGCTAAATTGCCCATAGTGTTCAGGGAAGCGTAGATTAGGTGGGATGCTCTGAGGCTTGGTGTTGGGCCGAAGGGCTTGTTTCCACACTGTAGGTATTCTATGATCATGCCACGGCCTTTAAGAGGTAGATTTTTAAAATAAGACTTTTGAAAGACTAGTGATATAATTGAAATAAAAAAGGATAATGTTATTGTTAACTTAATGTAGTCCAGAAGTTACGATATGATCCCAGTATTTGGATGCTTAAACGGATCAATACTATATTGTTTTATCCACTGTTCTAATAGTAGTATTAACTCACTTGAGTTTGGACACATGCATTTAAATTAGTAAACAATGTAATCTCATCCTTAATGTTAAGAATTAATATCAGACATATAATTTGCACAATGTTTTACTGTACTTGTTCACTCATTTACCTGATGTCGAGATCTCACTATGCTTCTGTCTTAAATTTTAGATTGTCTAATTACATCCAAATCACACCATGCTTTCTGATAATTTAAATTTATACTATTTTTAAAGTACTATTCTTAAGTCTTTTGTTCTTTCATAATTGTACAAAAAATTGTGAAAATTAGCGATAATCTCAATAAACATTTGAGTTCATAATTATAATGAATCTACTGCGCTGTTAATGTCAAATCAGAAGGTGTACACAAACAGTGTCCTGTTGATAAGGAGAAAGCAAATTGGGGTGGGTGATCATTTGGGAGTAGTTCAGGATAGTAGTACAGAGGGCAAAGGCAATTCTGGAAAAGTACCAATTCTGGCAAAAGAAAGGCTAAGTATTTAGGTAGAGGGTATTTAATGTAAAATACTGAGTGTAGCGTTGAAGTGACTAGTTGAAATGAATACCATATTATGAGGAATTAATATTTAGAGGATGTAAGTTGTCAGTAATTAGAGAGGCAGGAAAATAAATGAAATCTTTTATTTTGCTGCCTTTCATTAAATAACTAACATGTAATTTCTTCACTGTTTCACCTAACTGAACTGAATCAACACAGAATTTGTTTGAATTACAAACACATTATCAAATTGGTTTTACATTTTCTACTGAGTCATGGGAAAGCATGATAAAGCAAATGTACTTGATAATCGTGAATTACCTGCACATCATTAAATGAAGATGTTCTTTCCATTAACTTAGCTGCAAGTCATGAAATTACACTTTTTATCTATCTCTTCCAACAATTAGTGAATTTAAAATCACCATATGACCTTGGTTTGTGCTCTTCAAATCTGTTGTATTTTTGGCTTCCTCAGGAAAATACTGCAAATAGTATAACCTTAGCAGAAAACTGTCCATTTACAGATACAATAGACCTCAAAAGTTAAACCAAGAGCCGCAATGGAAATGATTGTACAGAAATGACTGTAGTTAAGAACTGCATTGAAGTTGCACAGAAAATTTAAGGATCTGGCATATCGAACAGTAAAATTTCATTGCGCCAAACCAAATTCAATTACGAAAATTAGTTTCCTTAATGCCTTTACCCTCTGTGCACAAATTGCAATGCTTAATACCATACATAAATAACTTGGCGCTTTGAGGTGAAATCACGTGCTTTCTTATCTGCCAATGAGTTATCTTTACTTGGCCATTGAAAATACAAGTCCTTTCCCCTCCAATAAGACTTAACCTAAAGTGGTTTAAGGGCCGGAGAATTAGTATCGGGCAGAATAAATTTTGAATGGAATATGCCACAAGATATAAGATAACATTGCAATTACAGAACAATATTTGTAAATGGTGAAATGCCACTGACTTCTCAGAAGATAAATAAGAGCAGTGTGTCATGTGCTAACCATGGCTCAATAGTACACTTCCTTCTGAGTCAGAATTGTTGTTGGCTCAAGTCCCAGGGCAGAGAACAAAATATACTATCTAGGTTAAAACTCCTGCATTCCAGTAAGAGGGAGTAATGTTCTGTTAGAAGTGCTGTTTTGGAGGAGACCTTTAAAATGAGGTCCTGTCTACCTCCCATTTAGACATAAATCATTCCACAGCACTATTTTTGAAAGGTCATCTGGTCATTATTGGATTACTATTTGTGTAGTTTTGCTATGTGCAGATTAGCTGTCATGTTTTCTGCATTATATCAGTGCCTACATTTGCTGGGTGGGAAAGGATTCCATTGACTCTGAAGCACATTGGGACATCCTAAAGTCATGAAAGATGCTATAAAATGCATTACTTTTCTTTAATGAGGCATGTAATAAAAGCAGTGCAAATCCATAAACTGCATAGTGCATACACACGATTTTCAGAACATGGAGGTAAACTAAATAGTTTATTTCAAAAACAACTTTTTTGCAATGAGTAAATTCAGTACCTTCTATAGAGTGAATATTCCAGAAGTCAAATAGTAGTACCACCTGATCAGATGCGAAGAAATACATCTGCAATGTATAAGAAAAGGTAAAACTCCATTTGTAGACTTAAAAGCAAATTTTGTCTTTTATGTGATGTGTACATTTTAATAGGCATCACATCAGAGGGGCCAAATGTGCACTAATTAAAATGTGAAAGACAGTTGTGAATGATGTCAGTGCAGAGCTAATTCTATGTATACACCAGGGTTTCAAACTACTAATGACAGAGAGATGGCGAGACAGGGTTGTTATTGTGTTATTTGTTTCCCTGATACAGTCCTGCACCTGACCAATTCTTTTGAAGTGGTATTGTATAGTATTCAGTATGATTGGTGCTCACCTTCCCAGCATACCATTGAGCTTTTTTGTGTGTGGCAGGAGTGGCCCTACCTCTGGTCCAGAAGGCCTGGGTTTCAAGTCCCGCACGCACTGAAGATGTAATAATTTCTAATTAATTTGTTCAGTAATTTATCTACCATAGAGCTAATGGAACATGTGTGCTATTTGTGCTTCAAGTAGTTAGGTGCCTATTCAATGCCCATTAGCGTATGCAGCTGTGTAACAATTTCCTCAAACAGGAAATGAATATTATGGAAAGAGAAACCTAATTCAAGGCAAAAATAGTTCAAAAAAATTAGCTGGAAAGCAAAACATTTTTGGCAAAACATATTAAACTTCTTTTCTTTCACCATCTTTGGAATGGTACCTTTGATTAGGCCCACATTTCTTCCCATACTCTGGGTAAAGTCAAATGACCGGTGAATCTGTCAAATCAGTTGCAAAATGACCAGAAATTTATTGTTTTATGCTCTCACACAGTTAGCTTGAATTAGTCGTCCCAAAGCTTTTTCCAACATCATCTTCGAGCTCTGGTGAAAGATCATTGATCTGAAATATTAATATTATTTCTTTTATCTGCTCTATCTGGCTTGCTGAATATTTACAGCATTTACTTCAGGCTTTTTTCTGGAAATAAGTTTGTATTTAGTATTCGCCAAGATCAAAATTTCACCATTGAAATTAAACTTGACTTTATTTAATAACACTACAAAAAAAATCATGTTTCTAAAACAGTTGCAGCTTGTAGCACCTTCAATACAATAAAATGTTTGATGGCACTTCATGGGAATATTTTACATCAAAACTAACAGCACTGGATGGAGGGACTGAGGCAGATGAGCAAAATTTAAGCCAAAGTGATATTTTTCAAGGAGGAAAGTGAGCAAGAAAAGAACGGCAGTTTAAGTAAGGAATTCCAGAGTTTAGGCTTGGATAGTCGATAAAATAGTTGCATGGTAAATGATGGTGTAGTGGTATGGACACTGGATAATTAATCGAGAGATCCAGCTTTCATAACAAATGGTGACATTTGAATTTAAAATCTAATGATGATCATTGTCAATTGCCATATCAACACATCGGGTTCATTACGATCTTCCAGGAAAGGAAATCTGCCCTCCTTTCTTGGACCGGCGTATGTGTTATTCCTGACCCATAATGACGGGTTTGACTCTTAACTGTCCTCTGAAATGGCCTAGAAAGCCACTCAGGGTTTCAAAAATAGGAAGGAAACTCGACAGACTACCTGGCACCAATCTCTACTGAAAATAACAACTGCTTACTAGCATCTGGGGACCAGTGGCAAAATTGAGAGCTCTCTCTCATACGAGTCAAGAGACAGCCTGATATTGTCTGTAACATATGATTCTGGGAGTATGACTGTGACCAAGACAACACTACTGCCATCCCTGGCTATGTCCTGACCTGCTGCAGCAGAGATAGTGGGCATAATAGTTTCCAGGATGGAATTTCCCCAGGAATCCTCAACATTGACTCAGTGCCCTGGCATCAAATATAGTCAAGGAACCCTGCTGTTTGCCACATATCACTACCCCACACTTTCAGCCCACCCATATCTTCAAGCTGATAGTACTGCTCCATTTTGTGCAACACATGAAGAAAGCACTGTGGGTGACAAAGGTGCACAGTGTGCCCTTGATGGAGACTTCAATGTTCATCACCAAGTGTGGCACAGCAGCACCACTATTGGCTAAACTGGTCAAGTCTTTAAATACAAGCTGTAGGTGGTGAAGAAACTGATCAGAGGGAAAGTCAGCTTGACCTCATCCTTACTGCAGATGTAGCAGGCCATGACAGTATCAGTAATCACCACGCAGTCCTTGTGGAGACAAAGTCTCACCTTCACAGTTGAGAATATCCTCCATCACATTCTGTGTCAGTACCACTGTGTTAAGTGTGATAGATTTCAAAGATCTAGCAGCACAAGACTGAGCATCCATAAGGTGTTGTGGAACAGAAGTGCATTCTAATACAATCTGCAACCTCATTGACTAGTTTATTCCCCACTCCGCAACTGTCATCAAGCCAAAGAATCATCCCCAGCTCAAAGTGCAGGCTGGCATATCTAACAATGAGGTGTCACCCTCCTAAAGCTATAAAACAGCACTATGGGCACATCAAACAACATAAGCAATGAGTGTTCGATAGGGTGAGAAATACTGCAACTACCAGATCTAATCTAAGCTCTGCAGCACTGCCACGTCGAGTTATAAATGGTGGTGGATAATTAAACAACTTACTGGAGAAGACTATTCCACAAATATCCTCATTCTCAATGATGGCAGGGTCCAGCACATCGGTGCAAAAGGTAAGGCTGAAGCATTCATAGTGATCTTCAGCCAGAAGTGCCAAGAAGATGTGTCATCTCAGCCTCCTTCAGTGGTCCCCAGCATCACAGATACCAGCTTTCAGCCAAATCCATTCACTCCACGTGATGTCAAAAGTAGCTAAAGACACTGAATACAGAAAGAGGTAGCAGCCCTGAGAATATGCCAGGAATAGAAGTAAAGATTTGGGCTCCAGAATTTGCTACGTGCCTAGCCAAGCTTTGCCAATATGGCTACAACACTGGTATCTACCCAACGATGTGGAAAATTGCCCAAATAAGTCCTAGGCACGCAAAGCCAGACAAATCCAGTTCATTCAATTACCACCTCATCAATCCGCTCTCAATTATCTCTAAGGTGATGGAAAGATTCATCAACAGTGTAATCAAGCAGCTTGACAATAACTTGCTCCCTTATACTCCGCTAGGATTCTGTCAGTGCCACTCAGCTCCTGTCCTCATAACTTCGCATCAAATATGGACAATGAGATGAACTCCAAAGGGTAGGTGAGAGTAACTCCCCTAAACAGCAGTTCCACATTTTATGGAGTATGGCTTCGAGGAGCCCTAGCAAAATGAGATCCAATGGTAATCAGTGGGAAATTCTCCACAGGTTGGAGTTATACCTTGGACAAAAGGATATGGTTGTGGTTGTTAAGAAGTCATGCACCTCTGATCCAGAAACTTCATTAGGGTCGTGTCCTAGCACCAATCACCTTCAGCTGATGAATCAATGATTTTCCTTCTATCATTAGGTTAACGAATGGGAACATTTTGTGATGATTGGACAACGTTCACCATTTGTAACTCCTCAGACACTAAAGCAGATACCATGCCCATAATATTCATGCTTGGGTTGGATTTAACATTTGTGTTATCTCTGAGGGGATCTAACCTTCACCCTTGACGTTTAATGCCAATGCCAATGCCAATGCCATTACCATCATCAAACTACTCTCCTCCCTCCAAATAAAAAACTGAACTGGATTAACCATAATGGTAATGTCTAGTTACAACAGCAGGTCAGAGGCTAAGAATTCTATAGTGAATAATGCACCTCCTGCCTCGCCTTAACCTGTCCACCATCCACAATGTGCAAGTCAAGAATGTGATGGAATACTCCCCACTTCCTTGGATGTGAACAGCTCTCCGACAGCAATCAAGAAGCTTGATACCACCCATGACAAAGCAGCCTACTTGATTAGCACCACATCTACAAACATTAACTCTTTCCAATGTCACTACCCAGTAGCAAGTGTGTACCATCTTCAAAAATGCACTTTCGAAATTCACCAATGCTGTTTAGCACCTTCCGAACACACTCAAATATACCATCTATGAGGACAAGGGTAGCAGATCCATGACACACCACCACCTGCAAGTTCCACACCAAGCCACTTACCATCCTGACGTGGAAATATATTGTTCCTTCAGCATCACTGAATCGTAATCCTGGTACTCCCTCCCTAAAACACTGAGGGCGTACCTGTCTACGGGTGGTTCAAGAAGGCAGCTCACCACCACTCTATGAAGGGTAATTCAATCATAGCCCAAACAGTGAAGCCAACATCCTATGAATGATTAATAAAGGGTCTGTGAGGGTTAATACTTGGGTGCAGTTATACTGTGCCTTATGATGATGTAGTGATGACTTAGTTTAAAGTAGCTTCTAGAGGATGGCCCAGCAGTGACTGTTCTCCTAATAGTGTCTATTAATATAGGATGCATTCATTTAACTTGCAAACATTTGCATCAATGAAATAACATTACTGTTTACTGGACAGGATTTTTCCAGTTAAACCTGAATGATGGATATCCTAATCCATACTCAATCACTTCAGGCTTCAAGGATCAAAAGCTAGACCACCAATGATGACGATTGGAATCAGATGCTCAAGAAGGTGGCACGGTGGCTCAGTGGTTAGCACAGCTGCCTCAGTGCCAGGGACCCAGGGTTCGATTCCACCCTCGGGTGACTGTCTGTGTGGAGTTTGCACATTCTCCCCGTGACTGCGTGGGTTTCCTCCGGGTGCTCCGGTTTCCTCCCACAATCCAAAGATGTGCAGGTTAGGTGGATTGGCCATGCTAAATTGCCCGTAGGGGTCAGGGATGTGTAGATTAGGTGGATAGGCCTGGGTGGGATGCTCTGTGTGTCGGTGTGGACTTGTTGGGCTGAAGGGCCTGTTTCTACACTGTCAGGGATTCTATGATTTAAGCCAGAATTAGGGGAGTGGAGACATCTCAGAGGTTTGTGGGGCCTAGAGCAGATTAGAGGTGGGAAGGGTCAAGTCCATGAAGCTATTTGAAATAAATTATGAAATATATAAACTGAATCATAGCT